TGAAACACCCGGTAACGGGTGTTTGCATTGCACGGGTCTTTTCTGCCAGTGCGCGCCCGCTAGGGGGCGCGCGCGAGCAGAAAAAAATGCCGTCTGGAGATGGCAACCCGCCAATGCAGCAGTGCCGTCCGTCTTTTTACAACGGGCGGACGGCAACTGGTTATCAAAAAAAACAAAAAACTTTACATTTTTGGGGGGGAAACGTAATTTTTTTTTCCACTTAACTTTATTGCTATCACAGCGGAGCTCAGATGCGCGCACGAGGGGGCGTGGCTGAGCGGACGTCTAAAGACGCCCACTCAGATCTAGAGAGCTCCTGGCCGGCCGTTTTTTTACAACGGCCAGCAAGTGGTTAAATGGCAAGTAAAAATCTCTGAAAAAGGTGAACCAACATCGGCTAATACGTCCCGAGAGAGGGAAAGCTCCTCTGATTATTCCTAGGGAGACTATATTGGCCCAGGACAATGCAAGACAAACACAAACTGAATGACATGAGGACACTGATAGAGGGAGAATGCAGATATCCTTCCCATTGCCCTCTAGTAGGAGTCAGAGAAGAGGTTGTAACAGAACCCCCCCAAGAACAATATGGAGTCAGGGGGAAAAGGGGGAGAAGTTACATAGTATTTGAGGTTGAATAAAGACATTAGTCCATCAAGTCCAACCTAACCTTCATCCTAGCACCTAGGTCTCGGAACTCCTGTTTTAGGACACTCCAATTTCCTCCTATTTTGTCATTGGTGCCGATGTGCACCATGACAGCGGGGTCGGGACTCACGTTATGAGACATGAAATAATTCGACTCCCGACATTCAGAGATTCTGGGTTTGAAATTCCTACACACAATCGTTTGAACCCATTGGACCAATATGATGCATATAGAGATGGGTTTTTCAGGGAGGAAACCCCGATTCCAATGGGACTGGCGACGAGAGGCACCACAAAGAGACAGAATGTATATGGAAGAAAGAGGGTTTGTAGATCAAGTCGATAACACAGGAAAAAGAAAGAGGTTCAAGGGGTAGGTATCAATAATTTGAGCTCAACATTCGACCTGAATGGTTTATTTTGGATACAGAATTGCTTTAGTCTGAATATAATGGAGGGACAATGTAGTTTGCCTTTTCACATATTTTTAGAATACTATATCCTAGCAAGGGGGGTTGGTTCTTTATGTATTTAAAGGGACCATCTATGATTAAATATGGTGTTTCACATACATGTACTTGCCATACAGGTTGTGATTTAAAGAGATTTATCCACCTTATATAATAGGTGGTTTTTCACTATTTGTTCTCACTTTCTCACATTATCCTTTTGTTATTATTCAGTCCTTTTTCTGTGTCCTTAGATTTCTTTTTTTTTTTACATGAGATATATGGCCTGATAACTATCCTAAATAAATGTATTTCTATATGGGTCGAGCAGTTGATGTTCCACAATATTTATCTATTTACTAGTCAGTACAGCAGAGGTTATAATGATACGGGTTTGCACCCTATACATGTTCATATACCATATGACTGGATAGTTATACATCCAACTTTTTTTAGGTGGGGTGGTTTATCAATACCTTCACTCCTGCTCTCACATTAGTTGAGGATTCTATTATATATCCTTGTTTGTTTGAAGAGCAACATAATGACAATCCTGGATAGGATCAGTTCACATTAACCCCTTAGAAGAACATGTCCTCATACTATTCCTTCTCAAGGTTTTTTCTCCTATGGCATGCAATTAACAATAGGAAGCAATATGGCATGCTATAGCAATAGGAAGCTTTTACCGTTCATGCTTTAACCCTGTCTTATGTGACAGGTTTATACTGAGGTGGTATACAGTTATGTATTTGTTTTAGATTATATATTTTGTACTTTGTGTTGTACGCTTTATCTACTTAGCTGGATGAAGGGTTAATAAGTGCCACAGTGTTTATCAATTTGTTTTTTCCTTTTTTTCTCAGTTATATGTTTTATGACGGTTTATGTTAAAATATGTCATGGCCATTTGTATATAGTGGTTACCATGACAACTGTGTTCAATATATATGCTCGGTCTAGCTCCTGTCTCCAACCCCCTGATGAAGTCACGCCCCTTGACTTAACGTACGTAGGGTGGAGCATAGGAGCTGAACAATTGCACACAGTGTTTGTGGCTGCTTACAAAGTTGTTTTATCAGAAGCTTATTTTTTTATCAATAAAATGTGAGTAGTATCTTTTTTAATAATAGGATTTTTGTACTCACCGTAAAATCCTTTTCTCTCCGTTCATTGAAGGACACAGGGCAACAGATCGTAGATCCTGAACGGTAGGGTATATCGCCACCTGCAGCAGTAGGATGCTAGGCACATAACAAAAAGACAAGACAGCTTAGGGGCGGCCCCTGCTGGTGGCCCAACCCCTCACTTGCTGACAAGTCTCCAGTAAGTAACAAGCAGTTAAGAGTGTACACACCACAAAAAAGGGCGGGACCTGTGTCCTTCAATGAACGGGAAAAAAAGGACTTTACGGCGAGTACAAAAATCCTATTTTCTCTCCCGTTCATTGAAGGACACAGGGCAACAGATCGTAGATCTTGAATGGTAGGGACGTCACCAAGCAGTACACACTAAGGGATGGGCAACAACCACCAAACACCCAAAAGACACCTCAAAGAGCCGACCTGCAACACTTTGCACCCCAAACCAGCATCCGCCGATGCCAACACGTCCACCTTGTAAAACTTAAAGGTGCGAACAGAAGACCAAGTAGCGGCCTTACAAACCTGAGAAAAGAGGCCCCATGGCGGAAAGCCCAGGAAGCCCCAACAACCCTAGTAGAATGGGCAGTGACAGGAAATGGAGGCTCGCGCCCCTTAACGGCGTACGCCTGAATCACAACATTACGAATCCACCTAGACATGGTAGCCGCCGACGCGGCCCGACCCTTACGAGGGCCCTCCGTGAGCACGAACAGGGAGTCGGTCTCGCGGAAAGAAGCCATAGCTTCCAAACACGAAGAGCGCGGACCACATCCAAACAGTGGAGCGCACGCTCCTTCCTATGGACCGGCTTCGGACACAGGGAAGGTAAGACAATGTCCTCATTCAGATGGAATGCCGACACAACCTGCGGCAGGAACGCCGGCCGAGGACGGAGAACCGCTTTGTCCGGATGCCAAACCAGCAACGGAGACTTGCAGGACAAGGCAGCCAACTCCGACACCCGCCGAACGGAAGACCTCCGGCGTCCCCCAGCGACGACATAGCTGCTGAAAAACCTCCGGGTGCGGAGACCACTCCCTCGGATCCACCGACTGAGGTAATCGGCCTGCCAATTGTCCACCCCCGGAATGTAGACCGCCGACAGAGCCAGAACTCGATTTGCCGCCCAGGAGAGAATCCCGAACACCTCTTTTTGTGCCGCCCTGGTGGGTGATGTACGCCACCGCGAAAGTACAGAGTCCGCGAAAGCGCCTCAGCTTTCCTATCTGTGGGGTCCTTAAAGGACGGGGAAACCTCCACCGGGATTACCACAGACACAAAAGCCTCCTCAAAGGGATAGAGAACCGAGAAGCGCTTAGGGACCGCAAAAGGACTTGGTAGGCCGCTTCCACTCCTTATAAATAAAGTCATCGAAAAAGGGAATGTAAGGAAACACTTTGGCAGAATGCCGACTCTTATGCGTCCCAAACTGCACTGGCGGCAGCGCGGAAGAGCTAGTAGCATCCTCAATTTTAAGGGTCTCCCTGACAGCGCGGGCGTTGCGTCAAGGCGCGCTCAATGCGCGTCAGAAAACCATCCATGGCAGAGGAAAAGACCTCCAAGGACAGTGTGGTACCTGGGGTACCGACCACCTCCCCTGAGGAACCCGAGGGGAGCACCGGTGACTGGCAAAGGAGCGCAGGCGCACAGGCCGCACAAAGAGGGGACCTAGAGGGATCCGCAGAGCGCAGCCCACACAAGGCAATGCAGAGGAGTCATCCCTGCGATCCATGTCCCACACAAAAACCACTCCACAGACCGGAGACCACCACAGCAAGAGAGAGACCGCAGTACTCACGACCCCCAGGTCACTGTCTCAGCCCAGCGCCGAATCTGCAAGGTGGAGGAGAGCTGCACCCTTGTGTCCGTCCTCTGCGGCGTCCCAGGTCGAAAGGAAGACACTCCCCATCCGCCCGAGGCTTAGAGGAAGCCCGGGCAGAAGTGACATGCTAGAAAGGGCACTTGCCCAAAACCAAGATGGCGGCCGTGGAGCCGCCTGGAAGCCGCAACCAGACCAGGGCCTCGAGTAGCGGCCGCCGAACAAGCAGCGGCAGCAGACCCACAGCCAGGACGAGCAGGGGAGTGGTGGACACAGCCTGCGCGGAGTGCTGTGACAGGTAGGCCAGGACCTCCTGTCATATGCACCCCACCGGGACGAACCAATAGGCGTCGAGAGGAACCAAAAGTCGCAGCCGACCCACCGTGGCAGAGCCTGCATGCGCTCGTTGGTCACTCAGGAGAGACAAGGATCTGAAACATCCAGCGTGTCGGCCTGGTGACACTTGTTTGAAGAAACAGTGAAAAAAAATGGAGGAAAAGAAAAAAATTCCCAAAGAAATTTTTTTAGCTCCTTACTCCTGACGCTAGGCAAAACACTGGAGACTTGTCAGCAAGTGAGGGGTTGGGCCACCAGCAGGGGCCGCCCCTAGGCTGTCTTGTCTTTTTGTTATGTGCCTAGCGTCCTACGCCTGCAGGTGGCGATATACCCTACCATTCAGGATCTACGATCTGTTGCCCTGTGTCCTTCAATGAACGGGAGAGAAAAAGTATTTTATATTTTTAAACCATCTGCACGAGTTTCCACTTTTTATTTGATGCACGGTCCTTTTTATATTTCAATTTAAGACTGCATGTTCAGTACAAATTGCAGTACTTCCCTGGAATATGAAGATTAAGCATATCGCTTTGAACATAACCATAGATACGAGTAGCATTTATAAGCAGATACATATGATTTCTTACTTACAAAGTTCCTTACCTGGGGTCCTTCACAGAAAAGTTTGTAATGCCTAATAACTCTCCGAGTTCATCAGTTCCACAGTGAACGATATGTTGCTGCTGCTTGTCATACAGTTGTTTAACCATTATGTACTGTCCCAAGTAATGCATAACCTAAAAAGGAAGTTAAAAATTCATGTCATACATATAGAGCAAGCAGGTAACCTTACCATTTAGTACATACTGTTTTCCAAAATATAAAATGCTAAGCAGTAGAATCCACAGTATGTCAGTATTTTAAAAAAGCTTGTTTTGTTCTACTGTTTCAACATAATTTCCTTAAAAAACGGGAAGGAAAAAAAAATGGAGAACCATCACATTTTTTTAGATAAAACAACCCCCCCCCCAAAGGAAAAAGAGAACCTGTCACTAGAGCACAAACATTTCATCACCCAGTAGCAGGGTTACAGGTAGGGGATACATTAGCTACAAACACAGCCTCAGCATGTAAACGGGGCTGAGGCTATGTTTGGAATGGACTTTTTTGCGTTAATCTTTAGTGCTGTCATTTACATATGCCGAGGTTGTGTTCGGTAGCAGTTCTACTGCACAGAGACTATGAGCTGTCAATGACATGTGAGGTAGGGGCTGGAGCGAATACAGGTATGCCTGCTATGGGAGAAACTAATTTAGCAGTTTCTAAGAGGCCAGCACAGCTAAAGTGCAGGGATCGTGCAAATGCTTAAGAAGTTGTAAAACTCAAAGATCATGAGTTGGAGTATTAGTTTTTAGATCCATGGAGACATGGTTTCACAAATAGAACTTAAACAAGGACTCTGCAAAGTCCCTGAATGTTAAGACATTATTCACAAAGGTGATATATTTGAAGGACTGTAGAGTCAACACAGTAGGGAACAACAGCCCAGGAATTCCAAATCCAGGGGAAAATACTACCTCACATGATCAGGAAGGAAGCCATGATGATAGCACAGGAAGTTCTTAGTCTTCACAGAAAAGGTTTTCTAGAAAGGAAAGTACAATGAAGGTCTTTTCGCTGGACTGAACTTCTATAAGCATGGCCAAAGCATACAGCATCAGAGTAGAGCAGTGGTGGAAAACCTATGGGACGCGTGCCAGGTAGCGCACACGGGGAGAGAGTGCTGGCATGCGAGCCCAGGTTCAGTGACCACCAATGAAAATAGATCCGACCGTCCAGGATCGCCTCGTTATGTGATCCAGTCTTTCCCATGGTGTTTAGGGCAGATTAAATTTCTTTAGAAATAGTATTTTCCCTGTAGCCCTTTCACCGAAATGCATCAGCCAGTGTGCGCAGATGTTTGTCTCTGTCCTCAGTGTCAGAGCAAATGCCGTGGTATCGGATTGCTTGGCTGTAGATGACACCCTGTTTAGTGCGAGTAGGATGGAAGCTGGAATTAATGAGGTAGCTGTACCTGTCTGTGGGTTTTCTGTACACAGAAGAACGGAGTTAGCCATTGCTGACAGTTTTGGCACAATCCAGAAAAAACACACTGAGGGAATTTATCAAAACTGGAGCAGATTTGCACTGCAGCCAATCAGCTTCTCTCATTTTCAAATATTGACTGAGCAAACTAAAGAGAGATGCTGATTGGTTGCAACTGCTCCAGTTTCTCTATGCTCCAGTTTTGATAAATTCCCCCCACTGTGTTCTGAGAAATTCATTTTGAGTTTCAAAGATGAATGGAAGTAATTTAATTATTCATGGCAGTTTAAAAAGGCTTTCTTCTCCTTCTGTCCATATTATGAAAATATGAATAGAACGATAATATTTGTATGGTTTGTGAGGGTGAGTGGCTAGGAATCTGTTTTCTAGGTCAGCCATGAAGAGATTGGCATATTGTGGTGACATTTTTGTGCCCATAGCTGTGCCGGTCATTTGTAAATAGATGTTATTGAAATTGTAGTAGTTGAAGAGGATTCCTGTTCATTTATAACATGGGCTGCAGAAAAAGAGATTGAGGACTCTGTGATCCTCATGTAATCTCTATGTTATACTCCATGCTGATCTCTCCTCACGCCTGTAATATAAAGCGCTCGAAAAATGCGCACTGCAATTTTTTTTCATTTTTAAGTGCGTTTTGCCCATTTTCATGAATGTGCCGAAATCTGCTCACAAAAACGTACAACATTTTATAACGCGTGTGAAACGACAAAAACAACACGCGTGAAATGCATGGAATAGATGTTGCCTAGGTGTGAATCCAGCCTTAGGGAGGAGAGGAGGGCCGTAGTCTGCCACAGGGCTGTGTGTGTCTATGTACGCACACAACCAATGCAGGAACACGCACGGGTGCCTCCATAGCGGGTACTTACAGTATCTCACAGAAGTGAGTACACCCCTCACATTTTTGTAAATATATTATATCATTTCATGTGACGACACAGAAGAAATTACACTTTGCTACAATGTAAAGTAGTGAGTGTACAGCTTTTATATCAGTGTACATTTGCTGTCCCCTCAAAAGAACTCCACACACAGCCATTACTACTGCAGGGCTCAAAATTTGCCTGCTCGCATTTGGCGAGTAAAAATAATGTGAGGGCGAGTGGAAATTTGGGTCTCCAAGTACCGGTCCGCGGACCAACTCTGGCCCGCGAGCCGGTACTATGTTGCCCACATGTTGCCAACATGTCAGGCACACGGTCGCAGACCGCGTACCTTACTTGCGGGAGCAGCTCCACGGTCTGCAGAGCAGCTGCTGTCAGCTCTGGCTTCCTTCGGCCGGAGCTCTGACAGTTCGGAGCTCCGCTGCTGCTGCAGACCCCACTAATCACTCACAGATAAACCAGGGATCGATCCTGCTCACAGCCTCCTCCCTGCAAAGATGGGTGGGAGGCGTAACGTTGTTGAGCAGTGTATTATTGTGTTTTAAGCTGCCCATACACCTTACAACCATGGTGTGACTTGTACAGTATAAAAATGACAAGGACAATTATAAAGCAACGTAATAAAAGAGTTTACCTGTTTTATGGTAAATGTGTCTCCTTTTGCCCCTGCGGTACGCAGGAGCTTCAGTAATGCAGGTTGAGGTCGTACCTGATGGATTGAAAAAAATATATATAAGATATATTTTATCTAATATGTTTATGATCTCATAAAACAAACTGTATTAGCTACTCCGATAAAAAACAGGAGGTTTTTGTTGTATACATTTGCAAATATTTGTTAAAGCCACACTGCTGCACCAAGGCATCTCTGTAAAGTGTGTTTCCTAACTCAAAACTATCTCCAACTGTAAGGCATGCACTGCAATACACAAACTAAGAGCATGCTCACATTGAGGCAGTGCCTCCTCAAAAAAGGTACAGTAGTACACTTGCGCCTACCAATAAAAGTAATATACAGGTGAAACTCGAATAATTAGAATATCGTGCAAAAGTTCATTTATTTCATTAATGCAACTTAAAAAGGTAAAAAGATCGAATAACACAATGACATTAAAAGAAAATTTTGTGAATATTCACTTCAATTATCCAATCATGTGATAAACAGAATTCGACTTGCTGGAAGAAATTCAGGTGCATTGGGGCACCCAAAAGCAGTCCAACTCAGGGAAAGGCAACACAGCAAACAAAACCCTAATAGGCCCACAAAAAACAGATGAGGCTCAACAGAGCCACCTGAAGAACTAGCATCAGATGAGGTTTGAAAGCCCACCTGGTAAAACTTGGATTTGTAAACCGATGAACACGTAGAAGCCTTGCAAATTTGAGAAACAGATGCCTGCTGCTGAAACGTCCAGGAAGAAATAACTGATCTAGCAAAGTGTGCTTTAAAAGGGAAGGGTGGCACCATGTCCTTAGGTTTATAGGCTTAAATGAAGAGATGCCAAATCTACCTGGCAATAGTGGAAAAAGAAACATGCTGTTTAATAAAAGGTTAAAAGTAATGCACTTACAGGATATTAAAAAAACATCTCGCCTGTCACGCATCAGATGAAAGTCCGATCTCAGCTGCTGGTCCAAGATTGTTATCAGTATATGGAGAGAGCAGAGTCCAGTCCAGAAAGATTCCAGAACGCTTGTGCTGGAAGACACAGATCTGATCCAGTGGCTGAGCACTGCTGTGGCTTGTTCTCTCAAAGCAGGGTCACAGCAGATGAGTACTTCCGGGTCGTAAGGTGTTGCTAGGGAACGCTAATGAGCCCCTGAGGTGTCTTTTAGAGTCCCCACGCAAGTCTCCACACTAATGATACGGCCCTGAATCTTATCAAGATCTTGCCGGATAAGACCACATTCCTTAGCCAGGGTGTCAATTCTGGCAATCTATGTCACCAGACCACCTGCAATGACTAGGTAAGTAAAAAAAAACAACACTCCCCCGAAATCAGCTGAGGAACAGGATAATTAAGCGAATGAGTAGAGCTGCAGTGAGATATGGCCACTCACGCTCACATCCCGGCCACCCAGTCTTAACTTCTTGTATCTTATCGGATACATTTAGGGACTTCAAATTCAGAACGTCTGAATTTTTCTGAAGGCTTTTGAACAACACACACGAGAACAAACACCCATGTTCATCTCTTCGTTCAGTACTGGGATGATAACTCCCAACAGACTGCAAAGAGCACATACTTTTACAGTGTCTTTCGGAAGATCTGTCATCATAAAGTTTTGCAGAGGACGACTGTCGAACTCCAGTTGATAACCTAGCTTGATCATCTCCAAAATGTACCTGTTGGCAGAGATCAGGCTCCATTGCTTAAGTAACTCTGCCAGTCTTCCTCCCACTGGAGAGATGGTGTCAATGCTGCTTGGGGTTTTAAGCAGGTGGGGGATAAAGAGTATGCCTCCCCTACCTCTCCCTTTCTTCCCCGTCTTATTCTTTTCTTCCTTGCCCTCGTTTGTCCGAGGTCTATTGTCACGAAAAAAAACCTTTTATTGAATTGTCTCTTCCTCTTTACAGGGAAAGCCTTCTTTCTGTCCACTGTGCGTTCCAGGGCTGCTTCTAGGTCAGGACCGAACAGCTGGTAAGAAGGTAAGTTACACAAGCAGTTTTGAGGCTGAATCCCCATCTCAGGCTTCCAGCCAGCGGGTTCTACAGGATAAGTTAATGAGTGAGGAAGAGCGAGCCGTCATTCTAATCGATTTGGCTGAGGTATCCGCAATGTAACCCATTGCTTTAAATAGAAATCGAAAGGGATTTCAGAATCTGATCCCTAGGAGTGCTGGCCATAAGGTAGTTTTTCGACTGTGAAAGCCAAGACTCCAAATTACTGGTGACACAGGTGGTGGCTAAAGCAGGTTTAAGATTGGCTAGAGAGGAATCCCATGCTCACTTTAGTAGCACTTCTATTTTTCTATCCATTACATCTTTAAGGTTGCCCATGTCCTCAAATACTAGGTCTGACTTTTTTGAGATCTTAGAAAGCGGTGCGTCCAATTTAGGGTTTTTATTCCACACCCTGAAAGGGTTATCAAACGGAAATCTCTGCTTCAAATTATTAGACATAAAGGGCTTCTTTTCCGGTTCTAGCCACTCTTTTAGGACAGAATCGGAAAGCACCTCATGTACAGGAAAAAACAAGATATTTTCTTCTGCAGACTCTGGTACATTAAATCATGCCTTGGTAAATGCACTTTATCCTCCTCGATCTATAAGATTTCATAAATTGCCCTGGAGTAGGTCTTCTACATCATCCAGGGACAATTTAAATCTTGTGGCTGAAGAGGATGTTTATTCTAGAGAACCATCTTCAGAAGAACCATTATAAAGGAGAATGCGCATTATCACTAAAATTATCCAAATCGGATGCTCTAGGCCAGTGATGGCGAGCCTTTTTGAACCCGAGTGCCCAAACTGCGAAGCAAAAATCAATTTATCTCAAAGTGCCAGCGCTGAAAATAAGTTTGGCATTGCAGTTTGGGCGCTCGGGTTTAAGAAACGTTCAACATCACTGCCTAACGGCCTTGTACGGCTCTCATGGGGGACCTGAACGTCCCGGATCGCCTCTGTAGTCGGGCCGGTCACAATCAGGCAGCGGCGGTGACCTCTAAACAGGCAGATTAGACGGCCGCTTGCGGGGGCCTCCCGGGGTCCTAGCGAGGAGGAAACAGCCGTCTAACCTACCTGTTTATTGGCTGCCGCTGCCTAATTGTGACTGGCCCGGATCGCATACCAAGGCGATCCGGGTCAGTCGGATTTATTTCAATTGGTGGTCCCTGAACGCAGTGGTGTATTCTGGTTTGGGGCTGCCCTAAGCAAGGCAAAACACGGGCGCCCCTGTGAGGATAAGGGGGTCTGAGTCTGAATATTAAAAATAGAATGTGTTTGTGCCCCAGTTCAGAGCACCTGCAGGCCTTCATTTAGTGATGTGACAGGCCCCCACCACATTCCACAGAAGAGATGCTCTGGCTGTGATCTTTTATTGCCCAGTCTGAGGGAAATTCAAACATATCTCTGCTAAGCCTTTTATGGCTGTCGTAAAAAGGCATGGCACCAGGCACTCCATATATTAGGAGTGGACATTTTATATCAACAATCAGGTCTGGAGAGGGGGTGACCCCGGGGACCCTCACATTCTCTCTAAAAGTCATAAAACCTGGAGGTTGAAAATCAAGTTACATTTTATTAATTTGGAGTTGGGCGGTGATAGGTAAACTAAAGGTTTATCCTCCGCCTACCCACAGTCTGCCGGATCTCAGGGGGGCTTTGCAGGATCTGTGGGGGGTTTGCAGACTGCAAAGCCCCCCACAGATCCTGAAAACCCCCACAAGTCCTGCAAAGCCCCCCACAGATCCTGCAGAGACCCCCTGAGACCCTGCAGTCTGCCAGATCTCAGGGGGGCTGTGCAGGATCTGTGGTGGGCTATGCAGGCTGCAGAGCCCCCCATGGATCCTCTCATCTCCTCAAGTCCTCATCTCCACCTCGATCTCACTCTGTTTCCGGCCGTCTCATGCCGCTCAGTCCCCCGGCTCCTCCCGTCCTCTCAAATCCCTGCCCCCATCTCGGTACACAAGCTCCCTCCGGTCCCCTCTCCGCTGTCAGAATGCGGAAGTGTTGTATATTACATCACTTCCGCATTCTTGTGTCACTCTCCAGCTTCAGATGCTGGAGAGAAGCTGATGGAGCAGATCTCTGCTTCATCAGCTTCTTCAGGGGGGTCCTAGGTGACATTAGGGGTCTTGGAGACCCCTTGATGTCTCCATAAAGAGGACCTGTCACCTCTTTTGCTATCACATAAGGGGGTTTCTCAGCCCCCTCTGTGATAGCAATAAAGTTAAGTGAAAAAAAAAAAATGACAGTCACAGCTCTCTGCAGGGATAGATCGAGAAGTGAGTGAGCGCCGGTATGTGTTCGCTAACTTCCCGATCTATTGAGCCGACCTGTGTTAGTTTCATTGTCACAGGTCGGCTGGAACTATGAGGCTGAGTGATTTTCACTCGCCTCAAAGTTCTCCTTTAATACAAGTTTGAAATAGAGGTTTAATAGAAGTAGTACTAAGTTTTGACTCACAGACAACACCTTTCTAGGTACATTTTTAACTTTATCAGGGGCTTTAGCCTAAAAGGCAAAAGGAGATGGACCACCAGTTAGAGAGCTCTTTAAATATTGGAAACCTCCCGTGGGCACACAACAATAGGAGTCCCCAACACCAAAAAGGAGATCTCCCATGCAGGCAGCAGATCTAATCAAAGCCAAAAACTCAGGGACATAGCAAGGAAAAAAAAAATATCAAGCTTTTACCTGAGCAGAACCTGTACCAGTCGTCGCTGCATCTACAGGGACTTGAGTTTAGGTCTTCAACAACTAATCAATGAAATTGAATATGATCGATAATGATTGTTAGCAACGATTCTCATCGATTAGTTGCTTTAAAATTAGTTGCTGCCGCTCTGCTCCTCCGTTCTCCTCCCCGCTGGTGCTGGCTGCAGCGGTCTGTGTCCCTTTCAATCCCCGCTGCTCTCCCTGCCTGTATTGGCAGTGGCAGGGGGGACACAAACAACCGCAGCCAGCACCAGCGGGAGGAGACACTGCATTTCCCCGCTACCCCCCTCTTGTACCACCGCTGCTGCCCTGTGCCTCCTCAGCCCTGT